GAATGTAAAATTGCAACCTATGTGCTGTACATACGTATATGTATATGGAAAAATGTAAGAAGATATCATTTACAAATATTTACAAACAAATCATTTATAAAAGTTTGAGAAAGTTTTGGTACCACATTTAATTTGAGATAAGTAGATTTTGTAATTATAATTCTTAATTTGGTGAATATATTTGACAATTTAAAAATCACGCCACAAATCTAATTACGTATAAATTAAAGTTTATTAAGTATTACCATACTAGTTAATACTCCGTTCTTATAAGGTAATATAATCAATGCATATACCGTGAAACTTCTTTAAGTACACATCGTTATAGGGTGTGCATTTATAGAATTAATAGTATCCCGAGGCTTTGCGATAATTATGCTTTTCTTTGTAATTTATGATTTACCCTTCCGAGAATATCTGATAAGAATTATATATTAATTGATAAGATTAGAGGGTGCATTTAGCACTAAGTCCCAAGCTTGGAACCGGGCTAAAGAGGTGTGCACTTAGAGAGCGTGCACTTAGGGAGGTTTCACTGTATTTGGAATGACAATAACAATGGGCGCTAATTGTCTAACGTCATATATTTGAATTTATGTACAGCTTCATTATTTCTTTATCTAAATTCTTTTAATGGCAAAATTTTAATTTGTAATAAAAGAAATAAAAATTGGCATAAATTTAATCTACAACTAGTCGGATTATCGTTATTTCCGATTATAAAATGTTAGTGTTTGAGCTTTAAATTGATTCGTCAATTTATATCAACACCTAGGCCTTTGGTTTATGATGTATTCACTTTGGAATCCAAAGTTAAACCTTTTAATCAAAATTGTTTTTTTTGTAATAGTTTTCACATGTAATGTTAATGGTAGTTTTATACCAGAAGGCCGAGCTGGCCAAGAAGCAATATTGATAGGAACTCAATTATATTTTATGGGGGGATCTCGTTTAATTCCACCCTCGAATCCTATCAAGAGCAATATAAGAGGATATAATCTATCAGATGAAGTCTTTTTCTTGGATCTTTCAAGCACATTCTCTACAAATAATCCACCATATGTGGATCTTTCTGATGCTGGTGCACGAATGAAATTTGGAAATGAAAAAGGTATGTAATTAGTTATTGAAGGCATTTAGTATATATGCTCATATTTCTTTTTATGAAACTAGGAACGGTAGTACTCGGTGGACCAAGCAAGGAGGATGCATATCTCATTGGAGGTACACAGCAAGACCTTGCACTTCTTAATAAGGATGATCAGAATATAACGATAACCTCGAATCAAACGTTAATGATAGAAGAAATATTTAAAACTTACAACGCAACGGATCAAATGATTTTTATTTATAGACATGCGGCACGAACTTGGAGACAGCTTGGACAAGGAGTTATAGGAACTCAACCTTCTAGGCGCAGATCAACTTCAACAGTTGTTGATCAGAATGGAAAGATTTATATATTCGGAGGAAGAATTGAATTTGATATGTTTTCGCATCCGCTTATTTTATACAATGATTTATATACTTTTGACACAACATTGCTAGCATGGAACAAAATAGATGCAACTAATGCACCTTCGGTTCGAAGTCATGCTACTCCAATATTACTCCCAAGTGGCAAGATTCTTTATATTGGAGGTGTTACCCAGCCCGCACCTGGAATTACAACAACTTTATTAGAAATGACCCAAGTAAGTTTTATTCAATTGCTTATTATTTATTCAATTAACTATTTATTTATGGTATAAACCACAAATCAATCTGATAATCTCATTACAGATTCCAGTATTCGATACAATTTCTTCGACCTGGTCATCAAAGGTATATTATTGCTGTCATATTTTTGAATTTTAATAATAATGTATACTTAATTATGTTGTATTTCCAGAATGCAAGCTCGTCTTTTCAAGTCCAACCCAGGGTTGGTCATACAGCAACATTAACACCTGATAATAAAACAATTGTTATAGTGGGCGGAACATCAAGTATGAAACCCATTAATTTGGCATATTCGCAATTTTTTAATAAATTATAAATTAATTCTGTCAACCACTTTTTTTCTAGGTTATCAATTAAATCAAACTATTCCTGTTCCTAATTACTTGTTATTAAATATTACAACAGAATCTTATCAATATACTGAACTAAAAACTTCTGGACAAGACCCACCTCCGTTATCATTTCACACTTCTACATTATATAAAAATTATATGATTATTGCCTTTGGTAATATCTTTAATAATTACTTTTATTCATTTGTATAAAAATATTATTAACTTTTTTTAAAAAAATATATCCATGTAGGCAATATTACAAATAATGATGTACCATCATATGAAACTAATCCAAATATATACTTATTGGACGTCAATTGTTTTGCATGGGTAAACATCTTTTCACCTAATAATTCAAGTTGTCCCATACCACTGTTACTGACTTCATCATCAGGATCAGGAACAAACGTTGGATTGATTATTGGTTTAGTATGTGCGGGGCTTATTGTACTAGGAGTGGTGATAGTAATTGTACGGGTTTATAGAACGTAGAAAATGAGTTTTAAAATCAGTTATTCTATCATTATGCCATTACTACGTATTTATTTAGTAATTGACAAAATAATTTTCTTTGATATAATGTTTATAATTTCTTTAGTTTCTATTAACAATTAAATAGCAGAAGTACTTATAGACGGTTCCGCCGCCTAATTTTAATGAGCGCACTAATTTAAATTAACGATATTATGTAGTACTGTAAATATTAGATAAATGAATATTGTTTATACCAGGAACGGAGTATGAAGTACTTAGATTATGGTTTAATGGCATTTCAAATGAT